ATCGTCAGGTTTCGTCGCAATTGAGGAATAAACCGCGCAGGAGGAAGCGTTTGAGGGCAATGACAGCTGTGCGACGTACCTGTGAGGGGAGATTTCAAACGTGTTGCCCCTGGGGTATCCATTGGAGAAGCCGCCGGAGTGATGGCGAGGCATCACTTTGGAGCCCGACGACGCATATGACGGTAACATCCAGGGCACTGGGTAGAGGGACTAAGCCCTTAGCTGGGAGTTGGGCTTCGAACAGTTGCGGTATAATTCCACCGGACGTTGGGAGTCGTGATGTTCAAGCAGTCGAGGGCATCTGGCAACCGTAACACTTTCGCGTGGAACGAAAGTTGATTGCGCTGGGACGATTGCGCCACGGGGAGCACTTGTACGAGTTTCAAAAGCAAGGAAACCGGTGGAGCAGCGCGCAACTGGAGAGGGCAGGGGTTCTCAGCTGTTGGGAGCCGTAATCGTGATGTTTCCGAATGATTGTCGTCGAGAGGTGGGCTAATCGTTGAGAGCTCGCGTCGTTGCGAGAGGTAAGGTAGATAGGCACAGGGGAAGGGAGGCCGACGTGCTCAAACACGGCGGCGACCACTTGTGCATAAGGTAAGGTAAGGTACCTTGAGGTAGACGAACTATGCCACCTAGGTGTTCTGTGACCTGCAGCGCCATCCCCATTCTCATTAGGTGGCCTGAGCACCTGCACGATTACTGTAGGGGCGAGCACAGTGTCTTGCCTCGGAGCCTGAGTAAGCTCTCAATACCTCTATTCATTGGCTTACATCTCTCCCAGGGGGCTCCCTCAAGTATCGCCTCCGCTCCCAAACCGAGGATAGTATTCGTACTCTGGAACCTCGTCCGCATCTTTGCCTTTCCTTCCAGATCCTTACTTATGTTGTCTCGCATGGTAATCTGCTCTGTGGGTCGTCTGTTATGTACAGACAGACACACGGCTGCACGCCCGGAACAAGGGAGAAGGGCATCTAGCCGGCAGATATCGGCACTGAGTATGCGATAGTCTCACGTGCTGCAGTCTCAGTCGTTTGTCTTTCTTAGTTGCGTCGACATCAAGATGCCCTCACTGGCCTCGAGACATCATATGCCGACCAATGGCGATCACATTTTTCCTGAAACAAAGGCCTTACTACTTAAGTCGGCGATGTTGTCGAGTTACAGCACTCGCACATGGTCGACATGGAACACAGCAACTGGGTGAAGCCTGCCGGCTAAAAGGGAGCATGTGTATGGGTTCAACCTCAGCCAGCATCTTGGCTTTCGGGGCGGCCGACAATACATGACTTAGGCACTGGTCAAAGACTACGGAGTCGACACATAGAGGGCGTCCCACAATCATCAATCATATCTAAAGCAGAAGCGAAGCGCGTCGGAGTGAAGAAACACTTCGGAAGTGCAAAAACAAGGACGTACCTCCAAATCATTCAAATGAGTTAACGCAATCTGCCACCGGTTGCCCCAGATGTGATCTTAATATCTAGAACGCGCCATTAGCCGGGATCCAGAAAATGTTCGCAGTAGAAATGAAGACAAAAACGGCGAGTCAGACAAGCCAGTTTACTCATTCAGTCGGCCGGCCCCAGCCTCCCAGAGCTTCAGAACGAAGAACCGAGAGGCCGGGGCACTGAAGCTAAATTACGGTTCCGAAGGAATCAACTCCACCACCATCCTTATCCCTCACAAGAGAGACTCCAGTGCGAGAGTATAGCTCGGCCGACTTGAGATAGTTGAATGGATAAGCTATGGTCATCATGTAGACCCCGAGCGTCATTGCGATGGGGATTATGGGGAAAGAGGGTTGCGAAAGTAAAGAGTAAACCTACCATTGAGACAATTTCCCAGCAGGTGTCAAAAGCAGCCGTCTGAGAAGCCTTGGAGTCCTCCGTCGCACATTTTTTGCCTTCAGACAATGCCGGGTTAGCATACGATATTATTTAAAAGATTCTCAGCAGGCGGTAGACGGGGTATCCATCAGAAAGATTGTTTTGGTAAATGGGTATCATCACAGATTTCAGTAGCAGAACTGAATGAAAATGTGGTTCATCACGGACGTGTTGTGGAGGAAAGGAATTGCGTAGATAGATGGAACTTACCGAATACACGACATTGTTTCTAGCAGAAATGCTGGACGATGAGAAACGGCGGGATGATGCTCTATGTCCAAGTCAGCGCCTGCCTCAAAAATAGCCGCCGCACAGAGGAGTTGGAAGAAACATCCCAGAACAGGTTGAGGTCAGATGGTAGTGCATGTTGTTCGTGCGCTCAGGATATCGCGTGAACTAGTGGAAAATTTTGCATCATATGCAGGGTAGAGATAGGTGATAGGAATAGGCATTGAGCACTTACCATTGAGAGGCAGCCCGGCAGCCCGGCAGCCCAGGTCTGACCCTGATGAGGATGAAATTATCTCAACTCTGGATGAAGGTAAGGAGCAAGATCTGGGTTGAGGCGCAAAAATTTTTGGGCTTAAAGTAGTAGCCCACTAAGCTGGATATGCGCATAAGTCCACTTATCGTCTCTTTTGTGCCGAGAGCTGTGAGCGGGACCGGCTTGCCCCGGTTGAATTCATTTAAACGAGTCTACCTCTGTATTGAAAAGAACCTCAGCTGATTGAAAATTCACCTCCTTGCGACTTCGACGAAAAGCCTTCCAAGCGACCAGCCGAACTGTGAAGTGACTATTCATCTAAGAGTCCATCTCTTTCTCAGAAAGATTCGAAGTTACTTCGAACAACCAGTCGGGCGTTACGTTCACTACCTCAGATTAGTTGGCTATCTAGCTTGCGATACGCCCCGTGGTCTTTCCGACATACGCTCTTGCCATTTTCGTGCCTTTGACCGCGAAACTGTCGACACTGTCATATTCATCACGACATGTCCGACCGACGAAGAATTAATGGCCCCCCCGGTCCCACTCTACCGCCCGTGTTCGATGGCTGCAGCTCTAAATCAAGTTCCAGAGCCAGGCCAGCAAACGGAATCCGAGGATTATGTTGGTTCAATCCTTTGCGGTAGTCTCGTCACTCACAATACTAACTATATCACCAGTTCTCAAGACCGGCGTAGCCCCCACGGCATCTGGATCCGCCTACATGGAAATCGAACCCCCTCAGTTTCAGGCCAATCCTACAGCAAATGCCAATGGCATGAAGCTCATTTGCACCGTTCACGGACCTCGTTCCCTTCCCCGGTCCGCACCCTTCTCACCCTACCTGGTTCTCTCCACACACGTCAAGTACGCACCGTTTGCTACTCGTCAACGTCGTGGATACCTGCGCGACTCGAGCGAAAGAGACCTAAGTGTCCATCTCGACACTGCTCTACGTGGGGCCATTATTGCAGACAGATGGCCCAAGAGTGGCGTTGACGTCATTGTCACCATCATCGAGGGGGATCAAGAGCGACAGCTCTCTTATTCCCAAGGTAATGAACAGTGGGATGTAATGAACGTTTTGAGTGGCTGCATCACGGTTGCGGCCGCCGCTCTAACTGACGCTGGGATTGACTGTGTGGACATGGTAACCGGAGGCGTTGCTGCAGTTGTAGGAGAAACGGCCGGTGACCTGTCTGCAACTTCAATCGTCATGGATCCTGTTTCATTTGACCACGAAAGAATCTTGGCTGCTTGCTGTGTTGCCTATCTGCCTAGCCGCGCCGAGATGACCAATCTATGGATCAAAGGTCAGCTACCACCTTCTGATCCTCTCCTTCATACGAAGTTGATGGATCGAGCTATTCAGGCGTCGAAAGGCAACTATCGGGCGGTTTTGGAGAGGCTTCAGGATCACCAGCCACCTCAAGGCTAGTCAAGTCTTGATCTGGAGACAGCTAGAGAACGCAATATCTTGCCTAGTTCGCTTGTTGGCGGCACTCTGCCTCACCGGATTACATGTCTATCCCGGCTCTTCCTATCAACGAGGAAGAGCCCGGCTTTACGCATGAGGCTGAAGGGTTTTGAGCGGATCGGAAGGCATGTCATCAGGCAGAGGAACTACTTTGTCGGACGCTTACTCTGGTCAGGATCAGTCGATCAAAGACACGCGAGGGATTTGGCACGAGTTCTGAGCCATTCATGGTACTTTAAAGGACGTTAGCGGCAGCTTGCACGCTCCCATGGGTTTGCGGGGTGTTTTTGAAGTGGCTTTACAGCGCCAGTCCATCGGTGTAGGTGGATCGAAGAAGCTGGAATAAAGGACTGTAGCCGGGGCACTTGTGCCGTGCACCCTCCCAGTTATGTAATGATATTACCAACAGATATATGATACCAGTAGACGAGGCTACGAAACTTTGGCACTTGAAATCCTTCTTCTTGATGACGATCCTGTCTTGACGGTCTGTTGCACGAATTATCTACATAGAATTCAAGTAGATTTCTACTGTGAACTGTGCCGTCCAGGGGTTCTCCAAAAGTGTTACGGTAGTTGAGTCCATTAGTTTTTGTGGAATCGCGTTAGCGCCTTGGTCGGTATTTACTTACTAACTGCCCATGAATGATGCTACCTCAGTACCTCGGGGTACCTTACCTGCTTAGGGTAGGTAGGAAACGTAAAGGACCTGGAGGAGCCGGGCCCCGGCTCTATGCTGCGCCTGTGCTCGCGCCAAGTACACCCTCCTACTTATCCGAGCTTCCGGTGCCGATTCTCCTCAACCTGCGTTGATGCGGGATCTACCTCATTGTTTGAGCTGCTTCAACAAGATCCGATCGATAGCAAACATTGCCATCTCGACTATCGCTTTCTGATAGTGCAGTCTGCTACACCTTGTACATCAGCATACTCCACGATAAGCCATCTTGCATCTGCAGTCTGAAGCTCTTGGGGATCCCATTCACGTTCCGTCCTTTCTTCTTGCATGCATCATGCCCTTTCAACCCTTCGCCTACCGCCCATGATTCGTGTTGCGACGCTCTCAGCCGCCACGAGCGACAAGGCCGCCACTGCTGCCTTCGCTACCTTCGCTGCCTTCCGACATTGAATTCGCTTTGCTGTCCAGCTGAACATGGCGGATCAGCCCGCCTCTGCATCAGTGGACAACCCCACGATCTGGCGGGATCTGTCGCTGTGGACCGCCCAACACCTTCAACAAGCCGTTAACATCACGAAGCTCGCCCCTTCCTTCGAGGATCTGGTACAGGCTGGCCCAAGGATCGTCAAAAAGCTGACAGCATTCATTCCGGCTCCCGATACACTTGATGGCCTAGGCCAGAGAGTTATTCCCGAAGCGACCGAACCCGGAATCATTCGTACGACCGACGCCGCTACGACCGCTGCCCTCAACATGAACATACCCCCTCCGATGGAACATCATCATGGGCTTGGGACAGGGCCGGGGCATGATACCCTAGTCGACCGTGATACTGGAATTGCCAGTCCCAAGTTTACCATGGAAGGGGCAAAGGGTCTAGGCAGCGTCTTTAGCTATGCTACGAGCAAATGGGCCCTTTGCTGTATCGCTATGGCTATTGTGCTCAATCGCACCCACATATTTGCAGCTACGAGACGCCGTTTACGCCTGACCTTACCTATCCGTCTCCTCCTGCGCGGTCTCCCGGTCTTACTATTCCTCATACAAGCCCGCGGTCTCCTACGCTCCATACAATGTCAAACATCCCCTGACTTTGCTGAGATGCGCTGGGGAAATACTAGCAAGAGTTCAGAGTTGATGTTCTCCCAAGCCGGCGGCTTTCTTCACACAATGAGCTCCACACTCCTGCTTGGAGCTTCCGACCAAGAATCATGCACAGCCGTTGGCATGGTGCCCGCGAACGACGAAGATCCGACGCAGTATTTGCGAGGGTCATTGTCACTTCTGTGGCCGTTGTTCGGTACGTTCTGCCTCAGTCAATTTCTCGAGACTGTGTCATGCGCCGTTCAGGGCCGTCCCGTATCGGCCGAAACGGGTATGACACTATTCGAGCATTCACTCGCCTTCGCCGAGGCTGATGCTGCGATTAGCAATCAGCTCGGTTGGGGCTTGTTTACCCAGTCACAGGCCGCTGAGGCGCTGTCTGAGCCAAGTAGCAGTATTGCTATTAGCCGCTCCATGATTCTTCGAAGGGTCAACACTCCGCCTGAAGTTCTCCTAGTGGCCTTCCTCTCAACTATGAGCCACATAACTAGCCACGTTCTGGGCATCTTCAATCTGCAATCCAAATTTCGCCTTGTCAACACAGGATTTTGGGGCCTCTGTTTCATGGCGAGCATACTCTATAGCGCTTTTACATTTTCCCTGGATGACCCTTCAAAACAAGGACTGCTCAGGTTTCCCACGGTTTGTATCATCGGTTTCATCCCCCATGTTCTTGTCCTCGGTGGCATACTCATCTGCCTTTCTATCTATCTGCTTGCGCTAGGCTTAGCCGCTCTCACCCCCATGGAGGGGTCCACAGGCCAGCGTCTAACACTGCGCGAGCGGCTAGCTCAAGCCCATGAGAATATGCAAGCCAATTTGTCTTTGTCTGATATTCGTATCGGCATGGATATGGACTTCTATACTGCCCTGTTGAGAACCGGCTTTGGTGCCATCACAATGGCCAGTGAAGCGGTTTACTTGAATGAGGACCGAGACATCAACCTCAGACACCGCACTTGGCTCGAGGAGGAGAGGTTTCGAGAGCTGGAGGAGTTGCGAGCGCAGTGGATAGGAGCCAGCTCGTCTAACTCGCAGTACGACACCATCGGCACCATTGGCTTAGTCCCCGTGATGGATGACCACCTGCTGCCTATAAACGGCTATGCTCGCGAGCGAGCCGCGCAGAAGGTACCGAAGGCTCGTTCAGGCGAGCGTAGGGTCAGGGATGGAGTTGGCGCTGCGGAAAGAAGTGGAAGGTGGCTCATGGCGCTGGATTTTCTCATGAATATCAACAGGTTGATAATCCGAACCTGGGCCACCGCTGCCATCAAAATTCTCTCCAAGATAGGCGTTCGTTCGCCACAGTTTCTCTTATGGATAGCACGCCGGCCCAAAACTGCCACCGACAGCGTCAAACGAAACGGCAGTGAACATCATGTCGACCCCACCATCGAATCTATGCAGTCCACCATGGACATCCCGATAAGCGAGGCCGTCGATGTTGAAACAGAATTCAGACAGCAGGCCTGGAGAAGAAGCAGTAGCTCAGCATTCATCGACGAGACAGATCTGGATACGCGGCTCTATGGCTGGTGGTTGAAGGGCGGATATTGGGGCTCTACGGACAATAGTGGTGAATACCAACCTGAGGAGACCGCCGATGATGACACCACTAGTGTCGTCTCGTTCAACGCCAACGACGACAGCGATTGGGAATCAGAGCATGACGGGCAGAGAACACCGACGCAACCGGGATCCTGGACAACCAGAGATACCACACCAACGCCTGACGACGCTTTACAGTTATCGGATTTGGCCCGCCTACTGCATCCCAGCAATCCTGAAGAGAGAGATGAGGCGTTTACACTGGCCGCCCACTTGGCTAGTGATAGGATCATGACAAGGGCACAGTTCAAGAGGTCGCAGCAGTTACAACGGATGAAGATACTGCAACCAGTCGGAAGACCAGGCCAAGAATCAACTAGGCCGTGCAAGATGACCCCTGACGAAGAGGCTCAGCGCCTGGAGCAACTTCTGCTATCTCGCCGTTCTGACACTCCCCGAGCTCTTCACAGCGAGTCGACATGGGCAGAAGGGGCCGCCGGGCTAGGTCCCGATGGCCCTCAATGCGTCGTATGCCAGAGCTCTCCAAGGACAATCATTGTCTGGCCTTGTCGCTGCCTGAGTCTTTGCGACGACTGCCGGGTGTCCTTGGCCATGAATAACTTTGATAAATGCGTCTGTTGTCGCAGGGAAGTAATCAGTTTCAGCAGGATTTTCGTCCCCTGAGAAGCCCTCCAGACATTTGGTGCGACGATCTCTTGGGCGGCGCCTGATTCAAGACCACATGATGGAAGTGCATGGACACGAGGATAACGTCGGCGCTGGTGGGGTTCGGTGCAATGTTTCATTTGACGTCAGGGGGTATCTTTTGCTGTTATTGTACACAAACACATGCTACCTTAGTACTTCAGCGCCGTTCCACACTTTGGTTCAGCATCCAAATCCATCGATTTCACATCCCAGCCCATTCGACGCAGAACGTGCGTACATGTTTCGCAGTCGCGTCTCCAGGGACGGCGGCTTCTCCTCCAAATAAGAAACCTTTCTTGACCGAGGTGCCTAGACGTCCGCTGCCCACTATGTCGAGCATGGGGATTTTCTCATCGCATCCATAATTCGTAGCAAGGAAGTGAGCGTGATAGCGTAGTGGATCACCAGGATACACGCTGTAGTCGGCACCGAAACGAAGACCGGGTGTCATATAGTAGCCTCTTGATAAAAGGTACTGGTGGAGAGGGCCGAGAGGCGGAGACGGAACGGTCAGAATCCTATCCTGGGCATTCTGAAGACCGCCACTCGTTGTGGGTGTGACCGCCAGCAGCTTGTCCTGTGGCAGAATATTCTCCGAAGACGCCTTGCCCGCCGTGACGGCATTTGGCACCTGAGCACCCGAAGCCCTTCGTGCCTGCACCGAAGACTTCTTGGCTTGATCCTCGGCTATCAATTGTTGCGCCTCGTCCCGGCGGTCCTTCAAGATTGTGACGTAGGCGTGGCGAGTCTGTTGGTCTGGGGAACCAAGGCAGGAAAGGTGTTGGGATGTCTCGTCGACCAGGCGGCCTACCTTCTTCTCGATGAGCACACTGGCTTCCTCGGGCAGTAATTCAAGGGGCAAACTCAGGAACACATTCTGTGTCGGATTTTGCGGTGTAGTTCCAATCAGCACTGAGCAAATGTTGTGGTTTCGTCGAATCCGAGCTACATCTTCTGCATCAAAGACAAGATAGCGGTCGGCAATTTTGGAGATGCGCACTGGCGCCAGACCTAGTTCAGGCGACACATTCATGCCGTCTTCGAATGATTCCTGTGAGAGTCAGCTACGATCAACCTAGCTTGTACGCTGCACGAATGGTATTTGACGTCCATAAAATCATATTCGCTTTGAAAAAGAAAAAAAAAGTATCATCACAAAGTGTCAGTGGATTGACAGATTGATGTTTTTTTTGGTTTAATCATTGGAGGAGAAAAAATCTGCGAGAGGGGCAGAGAATATCTTACCTGAACGGATGTTGTTGAATGTAAGAAATTCGACGAGAGCAAATTTTGGCGCCAGAGAATATTTCAATGCTGTGCTTGGTGGGGCACCAGGGACCACTTTGGAGTCCATACAGTGTACGGTCTTCGACCTGATCGGTACGTATCTTTTGGACGGAAGGTAATTCTGACGCATTCACACCATCTCGTTCATGTTTCTCATTTCTGTTGCTTCTGGTGAGGCTCTTATTTTCAATACACACATTAGTTTTTTAGAAGTCAAGCTCTTCCCCTTTCTTCCTCGTTTCGTTTGATCCCATGCCTTCATCCCCATCCAGCATCGGTGGCAAGCTATAGGGCTTGAATATCAGGCCGCTCGAGCTACTCAAGCGGAATGAGAGATTCTCCTGTGATGAGCCACCCTCCAGCCCCCCCCCTCTTTCATGATAAACGGGAAGGCTGTGGACCTTGAGCATGCCTTGGACCACATCTTCGGATCTGACATTCGGCTGTATATGCACCTTGCGCTGCAGCGGTAACAGTTCTAACGCACTGTCACAAAGCAGCTCCATCCACCTAGTGAGCCCGCTGGAGCGAGGATACAGTGATGTTGATATCGAAATTACGGCTGTCAAACTTCCGCTGTATTGACGCAGTAAAGCTCTTAGCCTGTGCAGGAACTGCAAGGCATCCTTAGGCCGGCACACAGACGAGCCGTAGATCGCAGGCGACAATAGGCTTGGGACTAGGACTCGATGAATTGCGTCCGGCGCCGAAGACCTCAGTTTCGCCGAGAGGTTGGCAATGAATGTATCCAAGGGCGACGGAATGTCGGCGCCTCCTGAAGACTGGGGCCAGGTCATGGCAGGAAAGCAAAGCGTCGTGTCAAGCTTCCCCTTGATATCGCTGGGTTGTAAGCGTTTCGAAAGGTCGAATTGGTGGCAAAAGCTGTCTGTCATGTTGGCGTTTCCTTGGCTTGCATCTTCATTAACAGTCAATTGACGTGCGCAGTTGATTACAACCCGAATAACGGATGGTCATCTTACCTGTGCCTGTCTTGTTGCCGTTAAGAGTCTCATATCTCCAGGCGATTTTCATTCTCTCGTTCGAAACCGAAGCTGGCTGGCCACGAAGCGAGCTGCTTGTTTTGCCAAGCCCAGGAAGTTCACCCTTCCACGCTTCGGTTGGACCTAGCACATGAACGTGATGACCCTGTACGAGGCCTTCTGCGCCATAGTACTTGAGAAGGACACCCGCAAAGTCCGTCGTTCCAGATTCCTCTATTAAAATGCTGCTCCCGAGAGGCAGCCCGGCGTGTCCTGCCAGCAGTTGATCTAGTGACCCGGTGCCCGTCGAGGTTGTGAAGCGCCCGTCCAAGGGTGATGGGCGAACTCCCACTGCGGGCGATATTTCCTGCTTTTTGACACCGGCTTCCCTCACTGTGCCTCGGGCCTGTTGGCCAAGTACGACATTCTTCTTGCGGAAAGACATGACTTGGGCGGAGCGTGCTCCCACGAGTAAGTGACTGGTCCAATGTCTTCAAATTTGACGGGGCAGTCAACATCGATGAGAAGTGCGAACTTACGCATTCGACTAGGAGCCCTATAGGTCTAAGTCGGGGTCGCAGACACAGGAGCTAGGATACGCGAGCCGAAATTCCAACCCCTAAGTGCCTTGCGATGGCTGCTGCCCCACCTTTCAACCGCGTAGTACCTACCTAGGTACATATCTTATCATATTCCGGATAAGCGAATTTTGGGGTCCGTAATTTTTTCTCCAACGTGCCTGCCTCCAAGCTATCGTGGGACGCAGTTCCTGTCTACGATTTTTGCGCGCTACCTCTTCCAAACACAAGTCGGCGGCCTTGACATAGCTTCTGGGCTTCATTTGAACTACAGTCACCTCTACGTTCTCGCAGACAGTCAGCCATCAACCATGTCAGGCGGAGGCGATGTGACCCTCTTTGAGGAGTCCTTCACAGTTACGAACTACGATCAGTCCAAGTACGATCGAGTGGCGCGCATCTCTGCCACCTCCACGGACAATCAGACTCTCATGACACTTGACATCAATATTGAGCTCTTCCCCGCCTCCACTTCCGACAGTCTTCATGTCGTCCTGGCTACCTCCCTAGCTCACGACGGTAGCAAAGACGAAGAGAAGGGCTGGAGGGACGTTACCAAAGGCAACCACGACCGAGAACCCACACTGGCCGACATGTTTGATTACGTGTGCTACGGCAAGATCTACAAGTTCGAGGACGCTGATGACGGGCAAACCATGTGAGCAGCCATCTCAAACCACGCCGGCGAAGCTCCAGCGGAAGAAGCTAACAATGTCTTAAAGCAAGGCGTACGTCTCATTCGGCGGTCTCTTGATGTCTCTGGAAGGCCCGTATAAGAAGCTCACTCCTCTGAGAGTCGATTATGTCTACTTGTTAATCAAGAAATGATGAACGGATTCTATTTACATCGCAACGAGCTGTCCACCAGGCTATTGACGTATAGCGCGAACGAATACGAGGGGTTTGACGAGGCCACAAGAAACGTGCCTTTGGAACCGTTTGTGAGCTGAGGTCGTTTGGGAGACACCTGGCCCTTGCGAGACAGGTCATCACAATCTACCTTCTCGGAACCGACGCTGGCTCAGCCATCTATGGCCCCTAGGGATGGGTCCTGGTTGTGCGGGCCTGGGAATGGCAGTCTTCGGTGGATTCTTCGCAGGATATGGTCGTAATCGGGCTCATTGTGTTTCGTCAGGATGCCATGACGGATGAAGAATTCGAGCATGACGAGAGCGCAGTTGGGCTTCCACTCTCCCCGTGCCAGGCTATGCTGGACTTCTTCAACGGTGCACAGGTGGAATTCGGCAACCTCTCCATCCTTTGGCTGCGGCACAACATCCTCAGGTAGTTCGAGATCGTATATCCATTGAACTTCGGGATAAATGAGGCCCACCTGCCCTGCTTCTGCTTCGGTGATGTATATGTAGGTGACGCCGCCCACGTGCTTCGTGCGGCCGCGAACAAGCTGGTCCGGAAGGTTGGCCTCCTCATCCGCCTCGCGGATGACACATTCGAATGGGTCTTCCCCCGTCATCAGTCCTCCTGCCACTGTGTTGTCCAACATGCCCGGGAACGTCGACTTGTTCGGAGAGCGGCGAGGTACCCAAATTTTGATGCCGTGACTTGCAGATGGGCAGCGTACGAATGCTGTTAGATGCACCCCGTACCTCATGACTCCGAACAGGCCGGATGCAGATCGTTCCATGTCGATGAGTAGCTCGCCATTAGGCCCGTAGACAGGCCACAACTCATCTCGCCACCCGCGCAGTATCGGAAAAACATCGCGCTTCCTCCAGAAATCAAAAAGATCGGCTGCCAGCTTGCTGCGGGTACCTAGTGTGGGTGCTTGAAATGCAGAAATTGTGCGCTTCGCAGCGTCAATGCTGATTTCTCCTCTCACACTGGCCGGCGCCTCTGCTAGCTTTTCTACCACTTCTGGCAATACATAGCCCAGAGACACGTCGCCCCCACCGTCGCCACAGATGAGAGTGTACAGGGAACCACCAATCTCTGCATAGCGAGTCGTGTCGTGCTCGTACGGATACCTGTATGTGTTCAGTACAGGTGACCCAGACGTTGGGGTAGACATTTCTCACGAGTCTACCTGAGCGATGAGGTCGAGGTTGCTGAAAGCTCCCATATTTCTCCTGAAGATTTGCCTCTCAATTCGGGCGCAGGGGATCATGCGGCGGCAAGAAACGGAAGCCTTGAGCATGTGCGGGTAAATAAATGTTGACGCACAACGACTTCTGAGGGCAAACCTGAGGCTTGATGGTGCTTGACGACAGAATTGTGGTGTGTAATAGTTAACCAGTCCTGTTTTGCTTTGAACTCTGCCGTCTGGTTAAACCATTTGGCGGAAAAGTAAGAGACGTCAAAATAAACCACCGACAAAAGAAGTAGAAGCTGTCAGAAAGGGAATCACAGGCTCAGGGCATTGCAGCTGGATGAGACCAGTTGCGGGGTACTTATGCATGTATGAGGTGTTAGGTAGACGCACACACCGATCTAACTTCTATGTCCACATTGTAGGACGATACTCATCTAATCAGTTCAACACGGCCCCCGAGGTCCAGCCATAAGCTGATGTCTGGATTCAAGCCTTCGTACTGAACAGTCGAAGAGCCAGCCACCTGGTCACCCCTGCAAGTCGTTCCATGAGCTCGCCCTGCGGTGTGAAAAATGGCAGTCCAGGAAACGGCGCTAACGCCCGTGGAGAATTCTCCCAGCATCTCGGAGCTTCCTGCCGTCCCTTACCCCACCCACCCTAGGAGGACGTTATTTATCATCTGCAAACCAGTTTTCTTATCACCCTTTCAGGCACCGTATTTGTCTTCAGCGACAATACATGGCAACAAGCTTTAAACGAATGCGCAACCCACTCAATCAAGCCCGAAACATCGCTGTCAGAGGAGGCCTTTGAAACAGCTTATCCCAGCCCCGACGCCCTTTGCCAGATCAGCCTCAAAGCGATGTCCGGCCCTTTATTTGGCATCGTCCCAGCCGGTCAACCACTGTTGACAGAGCCAACCTCGGCGCCCTCTGAAACCTCCTTTCTCTATTCAATATCCGCCGTTCGGCCTTTCTCCCATATAACTGTCATGCTCTTACCTGGGATCGTTCTGCCACCAAATACCGCCGCTGCCATCTACTTCGCTTCAGCAACTGATGTTGCTGCTGCCACTGCAACAAGCGAGGCGCCCAATTTCAAGTTTCTGGGCGGCATCGGAACCGGGAAGGAAAGCGCCATCTTCAAGATCAACGCGAGTAGCGCCGATGCCGCCCAGAATACCGGCCGTGTTATCATCGGTATCTCAGTCGAGCCGGCTGAATCAGTAGCTGCACGCATGCAAGAGCTTTCCGCGAACCGGTTATCCAACACGGGCACGGGTGCCTTATCGCCATCCCAGCCATCAACCCAAATCCTGGCCCAGAACATCATCAAAAACGCGTTCAACTTCCTAGCAAGCTTCAGTGGAAGTGCCGGGCCCGGTGGCGTCGAAATGGTGCCACTCAAGGCATTCGAGGAGTGGTGGAAGAAGTTCGAGAGCCGCGTGCGGTCTGATCCGAGTTTCCTCGAGGGACCACAAAATGATTAACCCTCACTCAGTAGTTCAAATCATTATCACATACGTAGTAGCTTTAAAAGATACCAATAAACCAAGTTGTTTTGTTCATGTATGTCGGTACATTGGTACAAGCCGTCTAGTATCTCGTTACTACATCTCGCCGGGAAAGAAATGCGTCGGCGCATGCGAAGCCTGAATCACTCTCATGGAAACCTCGAGTTCAAAAAAAAAGAACAGTCCCGTCTAGTACATGTCCTGCAACATGCCTGGTGAGTTTCAACGCCAAAGAGCTGCGCCCATCCCAGAGTAACCCACAAACTACCATCCCAAAAACGCCGTCTCATGATAGAAAGGTTCCAACGCACAAAATTAAAGGACTGGAAATGAAGAGATAACCCTCGCGCCATCGCCATCCACTAGGTAGACAGGACCAACTGTACAATCCGTTGCGTTGGATAGTAGAAGTCTCCGCCTCTTAATCCTCATCCAAAGGCTTCATGAGTGGACTCTTCATCCTCGTGGGGCTTCCAGCGCGACTTCGACGTCCAGCATTCACCAGGCTTGGAACGAGCCGTTCACGGCTCTCCGTCCTCACCGCCAATCCACCTCTGTCTAGAGAGAAGGGCGGTCGCCCGTCATCGAATCTCTCAATGTTGAGCTTTGGCGTGGCCAAGCCAGAGGAACGCCCAGCTCTTGAGCCTTCGCTGCTGTCAGACTGTTCGTTCTCATCAGAGTCGACGTCGCCTAACTCAAACTGATCTGCATCGCCATCTTCCAATACACGTTCGTATGTTGCCGAAGAGCGCCCGAAAAGCTTGCTGGTGATCGAGAATCCGCGTCCAAACTTCCGAGGGCTGCCGGGACGCCTGTTTCCTCGAAGTGCAGAGGTCATTCTGCCAAACCATCGTGTGCGTCGATCACGCTTTCGGAGAAGAAATCCTACCACTAAGAGAATCAAAATGAAGAGTAAGAGTCCGGAGCCAGACTTTGACTTGGCCTTGTCCAGTAGCTCATCCGCAGTGTCCCAATCATCGTCATCATTACCCCCTGTAGCGATTGGGGAGAATTTGGATCCAGCTGGCTCAAAGTCCATAGCGCCAGGAACATTGCTGCCAAACCCAACCGGCAGTGCACCTCCCTGTGGGGGGACCTGACCAGCAGCGTAGAGCACCATCTTTCCCAGGGTCCAGCTGACCTCAATGCCATCAATTTCATTGACCGGTTGAAAGGGGTCCATGAATCCCTTTTCTTTCACATCGTCAATGGTCCCTTTCGTGACGTTCAAGCCAGGGTTTGGTGTGTGCTCAAGCCCGGGTCGGGGGATTCCAATGCCTTCATACAGTACGTTGATCAACCATGACGCTTTGAAGCAAGCTTCCTGCGCGTTCTTGGCCTTTTGCGTGGCCGACTTCTTCCGCGCCTCGATGCTAGCCTCGATATCTGCCCAGTCGCGAGTGCAGAACTCCACCACATTTTTCTGGTACGTGGCCAGGTCGTATGCCGTTTTGTGGCTCTTGCTGAAAACGCCGTGAGTCGTATGCCAGTACTCGGAAACCCCGACGAAGTGATTCACATCGAAATCAATGCTCGGCACATGCTGGCCGTTCAGGAGACAAGGTTCGTCTTCGCAAGGAGTGTCCTTTCCTAACAGCGGCTCGGTCTGTCGGAGACATTCGTCGAATTGGCCAGTACCGACAAGGGATAGTTCATGAATGGCAACTTTGGTGCTTATAGGATCGCCCGACAGAGAAGACCGCAAGCCAGATGGGAGGCATGGATCGGGGATCTCAAGACTATCCGGGTTGCCGTACTGCTCCTTGAGGCTTTGGACATATCGCTCACGGGCTCGATTTGCGCCGTATCCTAGCCAAGTTGCTGTGAAGACGCGGTGTTCGATAGTCGACCCATCGAGGGTGCGGAGGCGGACAAGCTTCAAGTCGTTTGCATGCTTCTCTGCCTCGGTACTATTTGGAGCGAAAGCAATCTGTGCTGATGCGCCTCCCATATCCAAAAAGCCATACGTGTGATGGCCATTGCCGTGTTTGTGTTTATCGGGATGGTCAAAGCCGCCGAGAAGATAATTTGTGGCAAGCCAGCCGTATAAACCTTCGGTCTCGCCCGATATGACTTGTATATTTGTGTTGCAGTCAGGCAGTGAGAACATCGTGTTTGCCTGCAAATAGGCGCACATGTTGCGAAGGAGGGCTCGTTGCTGATGCTCGGGAAGAAGACGCATGCCGGCGGTGGCCATGAGATAGACAGGAGTGTCGGCGACTTTCTTATCGGGCACTTCTTTGAGGGCTATGTCGATGAGAGACTGGAGGTGTTCGCGACCAATCTCTTCGGGCTTTTCTGCGAAGGATGACACGCCAGGTCGAATCTTTTGACTCGTTTGTAGCTTGATCTTGGGCAGACTGTGCAGTGCGTCAATGGAGGCATGTTTGATGGCCTTGGCGTGGTCCTTCCATTTATAGACATAAAGACGCGTCCCCGAAGAGCCCGCATCGAAGATGATACCGTACCGCCCTGTACGAATGAATTGTTACAGTCAGAATGTCGCTTCTTTGAACAGAGGGTAGATAACACTAAAACGAATCTTCTCTGCAGAACCTACATTTCTTCCCCATTAGTGGCAGCTGGCGCAGTCGGGCTGCGTGATTGAGAATGCCGTGGGTGACGCAAGGGGATTTGCGACGTCGAGGAGAGCGCTATGGCAACCGGATGGTGGATTCCCCGTGGAGGTAGGAGTTGAAATGTCGCTGGGATACGATGAGGTACTGAGCGGCTCTGTCAATTCGTCTAGTTCGCCGACGAAGTGTAGCGTGTAGCCGGTGATTTTACAGGTGGAACGTATTCGAATTTCGAAAGCGAGGCAGCCGCGGCGAGATGCGAAAGGTGTTGGTACAATCAGAAGCGAATAAGTCCAGTGATGGGATTAAAAACAAAGGACAACGAAGAATGGCTGCTAAAGTTGAAGATGATTTGTGTCAACAGATGATTTGCGTAGGTTTGAAGCGAGCGTCGGCCATCCTGGAGGTTGTCAGGAGAGATGTAAAGAGTAAAATAAGTTGGGAACTGATTGCTCGATTGATGTACGGAGTAGTCGTGCAGCTTGTCCAGGGGGGGCGGAGCCAAGGCGGATTGCGTGGGAACGGGGAGTCTGGGAACGACCTTCAGTTTGGACCGGACTGGACGCTGGTTATGCCAGGGATTGGTGCTCGCACTTAGACTGGCGTGGAAAAGTGTAGGCTTGATTAAAGTGGAGTTTTCTGTCGAGGGAGGGATGCGGATGGAGACGACGCAGACAGGAACAAACTTGCTTATTAGGCAGGAAGAGAACAGGATGTGGAAAAGTGCAACACAAGACTGTCTGTCACTGTGGTGGACTCGTGTTGGATTACTGAGGCAACGTACTATGTAGACAGGAGACAACCCCAGCGACAGTGGCAGGCCGGGCCAAATCTCGGACAGGTACAGGCACGGGCTCGGGTCCAGAAGCCGCTTGGCGTGGAATGATAAGATGGTGGTGGACTGGTGGTTGCAGCACTGGGCTGGTCCTCAAACGGAAGGATACGTAACCATCTGATGTCTGCTATGATTGGCCATGGTCGAGGTCATTCCCGCGTGAGGTACCTATATGAGAATATTGGCCGTCAAGATACTTGTGAACGTCCCGGCTGCGTTTAGCTTTCTCACCTTCAAGCTGGCTAGCTGGGTGGGCAGTGCCACTTGAGCAGCAGTTATTTTTATTCTTCTTCATCGGCGAACCCTTTGTCGTGCTTTCCACTTCCTTGCATTCAGAGGCACGATGGGCTGGCAATGTCTCCGACATCACCTTGGGTAATGCTCGGGTTGCTCGCTCCCTTACTCTCTGGATCTGCTCCTGGCAATCCTGACAAGGATGAAAAGAGACACTGCAATCGCGATCAGCGCCCTTGCACCAGCACTCGCAGTCTATCCGTACAGTACGTGCCTGATAACAGTGAAGGTCAGGGTTGACCCCAAATATGGTAGGTTTAACCAATGGTTAGTAGGGGCCCTCCCCCCCTTTCCCCAGTCTCACTGCCGCTATTCGCCATCGCCTCTGTATGGCCTGTGCACCGTAAGAATTCCCTGAGGAGGCACTGAGTAGGGGACAGGTGTGGGTCGACGCTACACTGACGCAGCGTCGTACTCATGCACATAGGCACCCAGTACGCAGTACGTACAGTGATGGTGCACGGCAACACAGCACGGATGCTATGCAGTACCATAGTATATCATTGGAACCCGGACTTGGCGTATCAGATTGGCTAGAGGGATTCCCACGTCGCCCGCTTTCAATCGCAATGTTCCATCCAAATTGCTTTTGTCACGTACTATCCGCCTCAAGTCTTGTGAGGCTGCCACACTGTGTCGCCCATCTCCGCGCTTTACTGCATACATATCCGTACGTCGCTGTATCAAGTTGAGACAAGCCTACGGCAGCCGAAGGTACGCGATTGATAGACCACCATTGAAGCCAGTTTCGCCCTTCTGGTCTGGGTTCCTGCCGTCTTCGGCTTGGTCCGTTTGTCGCGGACTTGACTGCCGTATGTACGGGTTAGAGTTGCCCCCTTACACCTATTGCAAACTGCAAGATAATCAGTGGTGTATTGCTCTACGCCATGACTGATATTTGTGGTTTTGTCGAGTTGGGGGATAACTCGTCCAACAGGTCGCTGCTGGTATGTTCTTGATGTCAATTTTTTATTTACCGTTCCCGATCGCGATTCATACATGACTAACTCGTATCCTAGTCCGTTTTCCTTGTCTTCTCCTTCTTTCTTACCTTCTCCCCCCCCCACACCACCACAAAAAAAAAAACCTTCACTTTTGCCTACCAGCCCCTCTGTCATTTCATCCCAGCATTCATCCGCTCTTGTGCCCTTAGTGCCCTTCTCCTGCCGACAATGACACTCGATGCCACCGAGCGCCGATGTTCAGTCTAACGTCATCTGCGGCAAACCTACACAGGTTGACAAGGACCTGGGCACTCGTAGCTGTTCGCGCCACAACCGCGCTGCCCGCTGTCCGTGTCTCATGTCATCGCTCGTAGTTGGGCACTGCCTTACGGCATGGGAATGGGATGAGAGCCCGCAGCCGCCCACCGTAGTCCAAGCTTGTCAATTCCCAAGCGCCTGGTACACTGTTCGAAGCCAGCAGGCTTAGAGCTTCCAGTCCATTCCGTTTGTTTCGTCTCTCGTGCAGCATCATATTTGAGCGTCACCCTTTCTGTGGCTAATATGTCTTGCGATCGCAATGCCAGCCACGGGTTAATGTCCCGGTTGCCAGAGCCATTTGTTGCTGTGACTCTCGCCAGGGAACTATCTAGCACGCCTCACATCCGTCGTGTTCGTCCCACGACGTAACACAGCTGTGGTTGATCACGTACTTCAGGGCTCTTTGTCTGCGTGATCGTTACCTGTCGAGATGATAAATTGATCTCCTAGACAGGCATGATAGTAAGCGTTGTTCTCAACCCCCATCAAGCACCTGTAGTCTCTCATTTGCTGATTACAATAAGAGTGTACCAACCTACTATAGACTAATTTGCATACATCGCCATACTTGCTACTCAAGTGATGTCATCTGCAAAGAGCTTCCAAAATTCCTGGCCTTCTCACGACAACTGCGACTCTATGTCTTTGGGCAACTGAGTCGTCTCCCAAAGTTCGCAAGTCGAGATGGAAGAACCGGTCATCGCTTCCACTCGCCTGCTCGCTCATAGTCGCTTTGTTCCGTCACTTATCGGACACCACACGTCATGCCTTATGGTCGTATTATTCACATGCTAGTCAGGGGTCCGCAAGCAGAAGGGACCAGAACTGGACGGCTGGCAACTGTGCCTAGCCATTAGCAGGGCGTGGGAGGCGGCTGAGGCTATTTGCATACCTTTGTGATGTGGTGTGACTTCTCTAGGCTCCGCTGGTTCGTTACCAGTCTGGCTGGCCCTAATCCCAGCAGACAGGCCAACCCCCAATCCGCGGCTCCGTACTGAGGCGTGATTTCGTTGGGCTGTGTAACCATTATGGGGGTTAGAAAACCCACGGGTTAATGGCGTTCCAGCAGGCAGTCTGGATGCCGTTGACAGCCTATAAGCACGGCCACTATCGAAACTTTGTCCTTTGGATGCTCCGCGTGGGGTTTGCGGTATACCCACTATTCAAGTCAGAGGCAATTCCCAATATACCGGCGGAAGTCGGACTAACCGGGGGTAGGGCCAGGCCTGGACCACGGTTCCTCTTCCCGAGACGCAACGGAGCTATACTGTCTGTAGACCCTAATCGGACCCGCGTGGCGTTGGGGATCAAGGTATGTAGGCTCCTGTTGATGTTCGCAGAGATCCTGTGTTGTGTTTCGACCTGGACCAAGAAGCTGGAAGTCGACGGCATCTGATGCGGCAGCCTCGACTTGGCCCATTTCGACTCTCTGCTTGACCTTGTCGTACAAGTCCTGAACTTGGTTAAGTCTGTGACACTTGTCCTTGTAAAGCTTCCCCAGCTCTTCATACTTCCTGCGCAAGTCACTATAGTCGAGAATCTGTGCTGTTCTGAAATTAATTCGTGCAATCAGGAGGCGGGGCATCATACTCCAGATTGCGTACCTTGCAACCTTTCCTGCAAGGTTTCCTTTTCTTCGATCACTTCGCTGATCGCACTTTGGTGCCTTCTTTCCATTGTCTTGAGCTGGGCAGTCATTTTCTTGACGGTTTGGCGCTGGAAAACGCTACGCGACGTCAGCAATGTTGTCCTTTGGGGAGACAACGGACGCACTCCTCTTGGCTTGTTTGGTATGCCCAGAAGCTCAACGCTCTCCCGGTGCATTCCATGACTACAGTTGGACTCAGTCCACTCAGAACACTAGTTTTGTAATCCTCGGTCAAGTTCAAATTGGCCAGGACAGCGTCATCTGGTCCTTGGAGCCCAGTCCGACAGGCTGGGCATTTTCTCTGACGGTCGGAGACTGGGCCTGAGAGACCATGTCTGGCGGCACACTCGACGCAAAATATGTGACTTTTCACATCATCAGAGTATGAGCTTCCTCGTCCTTTCCCACTTTTGCTTGATGGGTTAGGTCGGCTCACCTGCAAGTAGTGACTAACGCCTGTTGCCCAACCTCCCTCCGGCACTCTCTTACATTGCATCTAAGTGGATGCTCCATTGGGTCGTTCGGTTAGGGTCGTATGGCAAGAATAGGCTGCAAAAGCTTCGATGTTGGTGCGGCGACGACACTCTGGCAATTGCTGGCCGATAAGACGAATCCGTTCTTCGCCCGTGAACTAGACGCAGCTTTGAAATTTATGACACCCGGGAGGGCGTCGGAGAAAATTTACCAACGCGACGCTAGCATCAACGATTCCCTGCTTCGCAAAAGGGAACCAGAATGCGCGAGGGGAAGGAGGAACGAGTGCCAGCAAGTGGCAGGTGAGGTCGATTCCAACATTCCGTATGGGTGCAGGTGTGGATGCAATTGCAGGTGCAAGTGCAAGGCTGGAGGGAGCTCGAGGCTGCCCGGTTCATCCATTGAAGAACGTTGGGTTGCTGAAAGTCACTGCCTAGTGCAGTGTCCTCCCGTTTGTCACACACCCGACGACATGCTGAATGACGTGCGTCCACGTCTTGTATCGAAACATGGCTGGTGAAGAGTGAGAGTAGCAATTATATCCGTTTTCTCTCTCGCCACACCCGCTTATAGCCCTTGCTTGGTGAGTAATCATTGCGTGAGACACAACACCTGGGATCGGTGTTGGAGTCTGGGAGATTTCGGCTGATGCTGGCATGTTCGGAAGGTTGGTTGTGGGGCCGTCGCCGGAGCCTGAAGTCCAGACGTCTCCGCAGCACGGGGTGTTGGGGTTCATCGCTACGGAGTACATGTCTCAGGTAGGTACTAAAGGAAGTGCCAGGACACGCTGGTCGGATCCGGATGATTCGCCGATCCGTGGCAGATGGTCTTGAATCAACGCCCGGATAACATCGCAGTCACTCCACTTCGTCTGCTGCCGTTCAGACATCGCAACGCAAACGCAGTTACACCCACATCAGCCGGTATCTCGGGCCTACGCACACACAAAACCATGCCCAACATTCCATCTCGTGCTCGTAGTCATGGACGCGTATTTGTACTTTTCTTACACTTTGTCCATCGTGCAAAACTCTTCTACAGCGCTTCCCTGCATTGCATAGACTGGCTAATTCTTGTCAGACGGTTGCCGCAACTTGCCAGTGAGACTCGAGCTGGACAAAGCGCATGGATCATGGGATAACTAGGTGTGGGGTGATTCACTGCCGGGCAAGCAAAAATCGATGCGGCCCGACATTCCAAACAACCATCGGGTGGTCCTCCACTTTCACATTTATCCGCCCAATTGCAACGATATCCTCCAGAGACCTGTACATCCGCCTGCGCGCCCTAAAATGTTTCCTGCATGACCAGACTCTGACCAAGGAATGCTGTTACTTCTAACCGGATGATCTGGGATTATGGCCGCGTGCCCTTTGACTCTAACTGTGGAATCTCAGCTCCCCCACCTAAATTACGTCTAGGCGTATCCGTTCACCCTGCGAAGTGTGCTGCGGGCTTTACATTCGCACTCTTGCTCCATTCCTCAGATATGTCCGGCTTAGCTGTTTAACACGTGCCAATATTGCCCTCTGCTGTTCCAACCGTCTCCCTCGGCCCCTCAACTACTACGTCAATATGCTCGGATTGCTCACTTGTTCATCTTGCATACCAATGTCTAGCGCCCATGCAATGATAACTAAAGCTGCCAGCAAGTCTAAAGCTACCAGCAAGTCTGCCTACAGCTTTGTCGTATGACGCTGTCCCAACAACTAGTCATGGCACATTTCCATGACAGAGACTGTCTTCTCCTCACATCAAGGAAATGCCTTCTTTGGATATATCGGTGCATAGTCTCGGGTGGCACCAGGCCGAAAATCCAGTCACTATCCGTAGATTGGGTAGAGCTGGCCGTGGTTTATGGTTGGTTATCTTATGGTAAAATTACCTCTTAGCTGGCATCCCCAGTGTCAGTGTTCACGTGTACATTCATCATCGTGGTCCTCGCCTTCATGGTGCCATGGGATTATCTACGATGGTTAACTCCCGAACACTACTCTCCGTGGTCAACTGTTCATCTCGTAGAGGAAAACGCCGTAGTAGTATAATATGCAAATATGTCAGTATCTATCTATATAGCTACTACGGCTGTTTGCCCAGCTGGCCAGCGTCCTCGACGTCGTCGATAGCCAATGCCGGGTTTTCACGTCAGACCTGAGGTCAAAAAGGGAATTATGTACAGAGAAAGAGAGAGTCATACGAATAGAGAAGGAAAAAAGACATCTCAGAGGCTTGCCCCTTTAGGGGCCGAAGAAGTTACTATCCATCGGCGCGGCCTGGCCACCTATCATGCCGTACTCCATGCTCATCATCTGCTCATTGACGTGATATGGGGCAAATTCCACGCCCTGATCAGGACTGTGACCCCAATACATACCGTCTAGGTCCCAGAGACCGTGCTGGTCAAGCATGCCCATTATGCCCATCCCTTCCGGCTCCAGCCCGATGGGTGACATATGCAGCTCCGTCTCGGTCATCAGTAAGCCCTGCTCATCTCCGATAGCTTGCAAAGGGCTTTCTGACCGCATTGAGGGTTGTCTAGACGCATCATACATTCGCCACACCACCTCGCGGCTTCGGCGTGCTGCCAGGGACCAGTCCTCCATAGCCTCGAGAAGATTCAGGATCGTCTCGATCTGCTGGTGCCACTCGGGAACGCGTGGGCTATTCCACTGCCAGAACACACTCACAAGTGGTATCATGGCAGCCTGGTAGAGGAACCATACAGCGTTCCATCCGGACATTTGATTCCGAGTCCATTCTCGCGCAATGTCCTCGATCGTCTGCTTGGCGAGCTCGCGGCATGTCTCAACAGCGTCAACATCTTGCTCTGCGACTTGGGAGGAAGCGACGCTGCTGGCAATGCTGAGCAGGACTGGTCGATGGAGAAGCATGCGGAGGTTTTGATAACGCCACTTCATAATACACCTGGCCATGTACAGTGGCTCTGCACATGGATCCGTCGTCCTCAACAACCACGGCAGATTGCCATACCAGTTGACCAGCTGACCGTCCAGATTGCAGCGATCTTCTTCCCGCAGTAAAGGAGATATTGCCAAGATGTCTTGTATCTGAGTGGCTATCTTGCAGAACTTGATATTCTCGATCAGGGGCAGAATACCGGCGTGGTGAGCAGAGTCTCGGGCCTACAAGGTCAACTGTTAGCTCCTTTACCACGCTTGCGACGGCACTTGTTCGGTCACTAACTTGGTTGATCCCAAACTCCGGGGGCCGAATGTTGATCGCGGGCCCCCAACGACCAAATGATGGCCGGCCCATCGTAGTTGTAGCCCAAGTGTCAAGACAGAACAAGCTCCACCACGTACGACGACGGGTTTCGGCAGCAGCAATGTCACTGGATCCCTGCGCCAGGCTCTCGCGATGAAGGCCAAGAGCACTCGCCATTCTAATCGCCGCACCAAGAACAGCGTTTGCCATGTTGGGCCTGTTGATATAGTGAAGATAGTAACCGCCAATTAGAGCCAAGGCCTGAACACTCTCAATGTGGCTACTTCCAAAGGCATCTATTGGAAGATGCTCCATGGCCCTGTTGTAATAGTTGATGTGATTGTAATCGTCCGACTTCATGGCCACGACACTGCCCATGGCAAAAACCATGTTGAGCAGAGCCAGCCATGGTGCGTCAAATCGCTGGCCTTCGAGGTAGTCAGCACGGAACGAAGCTTCATCCAGCATGGGGACGAAAACATGGATGCGCTTGAAGTAGGCATCAATGAGGGTCTGTCCTTTCCACGACCAGGGAATGCGTTGAGTGTCCTTGGATATGGTGCCCCTTACTCGCGTAGTCGGGAAGTTGTGAGTGACTTCGACGCTGTGGAGCGGGGTGGTGAGAGAATTTCGCAGCGCGGGCTGAACTTTCAGCAAACACATTAGGGCTGCCTTGATTGACGAGGCGCCCAGGTAGGATGATTGTCGATCCACAGATAGGGAGAGTGCGTTGACGTCGTCGGCTTCAATGGGAATGGGGTCACGGCCACGGCGTTCCTCATCCCACTCAACGTTCCGCCCCGGCATCAATTCAAGACTGGGAAGGCCCTGCTCAGAGCCTGAGCAGACAGAAGACTCGAGCTCTTGGGAGAGAGGAGACGCATGGAGAGGGGGGGAGGGAAGCGCGGTTGGGGTGTCATGAACGGGTCGTTCGAGGAGGCTCAGTAGCCCCTGGCGAGAGAGCGGCAGCAGAGATGGGACGTCTTGGCTTGGGAACAGGCGCTTCAAGATGGAGCGGCACTCTTCGAGGGACTGTGACAGCGCCTCGAGGGTCTTCCTCGAAGGAATGACGCGTTGCCTGTGCTTGTCATAGAAGCACCTTTTCGGCGCACGGCTCGAGAGGCATTGGCCGCATGGCTGTTGTCCATCGCAGCGGCTAAGATAGAGTCAGATGGGTTCCAAATTGGTAGGTCTGGGCATCAATGCTCACATTTTTCGCCTCTTGCATTCGGCACATGCATGTGGGGTGGTGATTCGCTTAGAGCCCGTCGAGCCAGGTGTTTTCCCGTTGTCTTGGGGCTCATTTGAGGGTTTTCGCGGCGTGACACCCTGGACTGAGGTACGCGACTTGAGCAACGATCTAGAGGGAACGGGTGTGGACGTATAATGAACATGTACTTACAAGTATGGAACATGCCACCTTGGTTAGGAACTGGAATTGAAGGCGCCATGCTCACCGCCGGCGACGAATGCTTCTTGCTTTGGAGTATCCGATGTAAGGAAGCCGTTCAGCTTGAGGGCCGCGAGAAGAGGCAAAGAGAAAACCCCCGAGATAGTAAGTAGTACAGCTCTGGGAGACCTGCCTCGGTCGTTGCCTGCTGAGGGAGTAAGAGGTTCGTTTGTGTGGAGTGAAGGCACTGGATGAACGGTTGGATCAAGTCGGTTGACCCCAAATCTTATATATTAACAAGAGAAGCTAGTCGAGGAAAACCGGAAGACGCACGAGAAGTCCGGCAGCTATTCAGAGGACCGCCAGATCAGCAACATTAGGTGTGGAGAAGGTTGTCAGGGGTATATGTGAGCATGTATGACGAAGAAGGGCGATGGAACATTAATGCCGTGTCGGCTGGCCGGGTTCGGGCGAGTAAACCAAGGCTTAGAGGTGAACTTGGACGAACTGGCTTGTGGGAGGCACCCTTCGGGGCTTAGCCGGGGTGGAAGAAGATGGGGACGGGACAGGGATTAATCTAGGCCAATATTAGCTGGGCCAGCCGAAGCGGTTGAATGCTGTATATTTGTTCCGGAACAGCGACGATGCGTGACCATGTCGTAGGGGGACGATCCACCTTATTGGCCGCGTAGGCGTTGCTAAAGATGTGCGGTAGCCATCACGGCTTGCGAGGTGGGTTAAAATGGTGGTGTGTTGTTACCAGGTCTGGTCGCCCAAGATACTTGGCTATTCTCTTGCGACGGCTGGCTGTGACGGCACAAAGCGCATGTACGATGTTTGGCATCGCTCGTCTTGAGTTGCCTGGTACGGGTTGTACGGATTCATGAACACAGTTGGGTATGGCTGTGAGTGTTTAATATCAGATGCGGAGAAGAAGGGTACGTAGGTGTAGAAAATGTGGTTGGGTCCACTCGATGGAAAGTCGGAAAGTCGGTTGAAGAGCTGATTGGGGCTTGCAAACCTGGAGAAGCTGGAGCAGCGAACATTCGTTCGCATGATCAGGCGTGTGAGGGGCAAAAAAAAAAAAAAAAAAAAAAAAAGGGCGGNGGGGGGGGGGGGGGGAAAAAAAAAAAAAAAAAAAAAAAAAAGGGCCGGAAAAGAGAGAGAGGGTGTTTGGAAGGACATGAAGGGGACTGACTCTAAGCCGGGAAAGGCAACAGCCACTTGATGAGACCACCTCCTGCCAGGTGGAGAGGGGTGGTAAGGTGATAGTGAGGGGAATCTCAGACAGGCTACCTTAGGTACCTACCTGACCTACCCGATGGCACCGGCGATGCGATGTGATGAATTTGCCCTTGACAGCCGTTAACCATTCACTGGTGGGGAAATCTCAATCGGGCGGGGCCGTGGCCCTTGGGGCGGAACACCACGACGACACTACGGCCCACGGATACCTGTGCTTGATTACCTTACCTAAGGTAACTTAAGGTCAGGCTGCCCCATACTTTCCGCCGTCCGAAGCGAAGTAAGGTAGGTACACTGGGTACCTTGCTGAGCGCTGACGGGACCTCGGGACCTGACAGGACCTGACCTGGTGAGGTTCCCCAGGCACTATGTATTTCCGTCCCTCCGCCTCCACCCCCCATAAGGCACGTACTACCTACCTTGAGGGGGGGTGTGTATAATAGCAGGCGAAGGTTATACCTCTATAGGTAGTTATACTAAAATTAGGATAGTATACTAGTAGTATAGTAAAAGTTAATTATAACATAAAGATAACCTATTTTTTTTTATTTAATTTCCCTAGTTTTTTTTTAATTATTTTCATAATTTAAACTATAAGATCACTTTTATATAAATTACTCTATAAAAATTAAGTTACTCTATCTATATAGTAAAAATAATAATAAAGGGAAGAAATAGATTAAGAAAGGTATTAGTATTAAGAGCTTTGAATAGCTTATAGTAGGCCCTATTAGCATAAGTATAAGCATATTTAGGGGCGTAGTATATACGCCTATATAGTATAAGGTTATAGATAGGCTTATATTATAATAAAAAGTAATAATTCTAAGTATTTATAAGTATTTAATTATATAGATAATAATAAGGGA